TATTGTAACCGGCTTTTTTTTTTTTTTTTTTTTTTTTTTGTATTGTGTATTATTAAAGCGCGCGCTGCAAAAATAATATCACCTAGTTTAGCTTTCTTTTCTTCTTTGATGTAATGATGTAAATCTTAGCTGTGTACAAAGTCAAGTAGTTAATAACCGATGGCTTCATGTTTATAAAAGTACAATGCCACAGCAGAACTAGAACGGGGACTGATTCTTATATTTATGTTTCGAACTTACAAAGGTTGAAATGGTAGACAAAATAGATAGATCGTGTAAGGCATTGCTGACTTACTCAAGTATGAAAGTTTGTACAACCTATAACAACACCTCCCATTATCGAAAGACACTGATTAGAAAACGTAGGATAAGCACCTATCAAGCTTCATATCACGAACTACGGCCAAGATTATTCTTAGCCTTCACCTGCCTATTCGGGACAGGCAGCACTGTATGCCGGTCAGCACTAGCCGCAGATGGACCGTTTTCGCGAATCTGAATGAAGCCGCGCAAATAGCAGGCTATTTAACCTGGGTGTCAGTGACCTTCATAAGCAGCCCAAATTGCTCATTATAGGTCGACGGGACGCCACTATGAACGCCATAACGGCAGTAGAATGATATATGAGCCGCGAAATTATAAGTCCCGCTTGCTTTGCTTTTCACATGGATTCTTACCAGCAGCCAATTTCACTGACGTCCAGCGAGATCTGTTCTCGACCATCATAACAATGTACTGGATCACTTTCGTTTTCCTGGTCCAAGTATTGTACGTCGGTAGCATATTAGCGGTTCCCATCTGGCCAACTTCCATTGACGAACTGGAGGATATCATGTTCCTCAACACAGGCTACAGAGCTCGTGGCTTCGCAAAAGCCGTAACACCTTGCTCCGCCGGAGCTGGAGCCGGACGCGTAGCAGCAGCGGAGTTCGTTCGGACGGCCTTCCACGACATGGCGAACGCAAACGTATATTTCCACACCGGAGGCCTGGACGCATCAATCGCATATGAAACCAACAGACTTGAAAACGTTGGGCAAGCATTCACTACAACACTCGCAACCTACGAGCCTTTCCTCACTTCAAGATCATCGATGGCCGACATCATTTCCATGGGCGTCTATACAGCCGTACGTTCTTGTGGTGGCCCCGTGATTTCTGTCCGAACTGGGAGGATAGATGCCAAAGCCGCGGGCACATCCGGCCAAGTGCCGCTACCCCAAAACGCGATCGGGATCTTTATAAGCCAGTTCGAACGCATTGGTTTCAACCAGACAGAAATGATTTCTCTTGTCGCCTGCGGGCATACCCTTGGTGGCGTCCATGCTGGCAACTTTCCGGAAGTTGTACCAGTTGGCACCGCAGCAGATGAGTTTGCACAGTTTGATACCGGCGATGCGTTCGACACGAATGTTGTGAAAGAGTATCTTTCCAGTTCTACAGCCAACCCATTAGTTATTGGCCCTTCTACGACAAACGGGCGGAACTCCGATGCGCGCGTCTTTGCGTCAGATGGAAATGTTACCATAACAGCCATGGTGGATCCAGAGACTTTCCAGAGCGTCTGCGCGTCCATGCTACAGAGAATGATCGATGTCGTGCCGACAGGCGTGGCGCTTACAGATCCAATCACGCCGTACGAAGTCAAGCCAAACGACCTTCGGTTGGCTTTAATTTCTGGAGGCGATACTATCTCTTTTACTGGTGAAATCCGTGTCCGGACTACTTCCCGCTCTGTCTCAAGCGTCCAATTAGTGTACAAAGACCGCGACGGAGGCAACGACTGCGGGAGCTGCTTGATCAGTACAGAGCTTAAGGGCAATGCTGCCGGATTTGACGATAGTTTTGCGGTATGTAATTGCAAGTCCGTCAGTGAGATCGAATAAGGGTTAATGGTGCAATAGTTTTACGGCTTTTCGGCTGAAATACTTTCCAGCTCTTCGATATCAGCGTTCGACGTGGAGCTTACACTCTCCAGCGGAGAGACTGAGGCTTTCAACAATGGGGGGGATAGTTTTCCCGTTCAAGACGAGGTTTTACTGCAGCACTCGCAAAGCTGTCTCAGCACCGACTCTAGCCTGCACGTCGTTGCTGCTGTGAGTAAGCGTCATTGATAAAGTAGGGCATGAGCTAACAAACAAAAGGTCCGCAACAGTGTTTCTGCCACAGTCAACTTGGATCTTACTTTGAAAGTTCCAGCTTCCGGCTCGGTCATTCCAGTCCTTCAAGCGGAAACAGTGACGATGGAGAAGGTCTCAACGATCGGACCATACGACCTTTATACTGCTAGTTACGCCCTGGATCCCACTTTTTCCAAATCCACAAGATTTGGTATAACAGCTGGTTCCAGTGTGGATAGCTTCAACAGCGCAGGAGACCTATTAAGTATTTGTTCTGATTCGGAACCAGAACCACCGACTTCGAGCATGTCAACTTCTACATCTTCCCTTATCTCGTCAACAACTTCCGCAATTTCCACTCTTGTGTCATCGAGTACATCGCAAACAAGCTCGGAGGAGGTACCATCTCCGACCTCAACAGCCTACTCCTATGAAGGTTGCTACACAGACTCCGTCTCATCACGCACATTCAACGACGCAGTCTTCTACGACAGCAACATGACCATCTCGAAATGCTCAGAACAGTGCACAAAATGGGCTTACTTCGGTGTCGAGTATGGTAAGTGGAAGCGCCGGACTTGATTTTGCTCCTAGTCCGACCAAATACTCACAACTGACTTCATTAAAGGCGAGGAATGTTACTGCGGAGCAATATTTGCCAGCAGCTCAACCAAGGCCTCCGAAAGTGAATGCAACTTACCCTGCCCTGGGAACAGCGTCGAAAAGTGCGGTGCCGGGGACAGACTAAGTGCTTATAAGAATCTGCTCTTAGTGGATGTGACGAATCCAGTTATCCCAGGATACGCATACCAGGGTTGTTACAACGACTCGGCTTCGGACAGGGTTCTCGTTGGAAGCTCAACACAGGCTGATTCACTGACGGTGGAAGGCTGTGCGAGTTTCTGTAATGCAGCGGCATACTTTGGTGTTGAGTACGGACGGGAATGCTATTGTGGCAGTGAGCTAAAGGCGAGCGCGGTCAAGCAGGCAGAGGGGGATTGCTCTATTATGTGCGCTGGTGATACGGCGGAGTATTGTGGAGCTGCGGACAGGATTGGTGTGTATAGGAAAGAAGGATCAGACTGATAACGTAGTGTACTTGGCTTTGTCCTAGTAGGCAGCTGGACAGCTATGATCAATTCCATGCCAGCAACACGCACACAACGACACTTTCCAGGGTAGCCGTTCTTAGTTGATCTCCTCAAACTCCAGAAAGTTGCATTCCGCTTATGATCTCATCCAGCTGTAACCATCATGGTAATAATCAGTGTTGCAACATGCTCTTTCTAATTCTCCCAGCAGTCTTCCATCTCAGGACGCAAGTACGTTTCAGCTCTGAGCGTTGTCACGCAGCTGTAAGAGCAGGCAATGCTGCCACAGCGGGTACACTTATGGGAATTTACCACTGGATGGTGCTTTCTCTCGAGCTTTTGCATCCTCCGTTTCTCGCTTTGTTTTTGCGCTCGAGGCTCCTAGCTCTGATTTGGTTCTCTCCAGTCGTCTTCAACCTCTTTCTCTTAGGCTTTCCGACGCAGCTCCGCATCCCGTTCTCTCTGTTTCTTTGCTTCCTTGGCCATCGTTTCTCGGACTTTTTTCTCGGCTATTTCCTCTTTGCAGCGCTTTATTGCTTATTCAGCCGCCCTTTCCAGATCCAGTTTCTCTTTTGCCAGCTTTTGTTCCCGTTGCTTCCTCGCTTCTTCCTCCGCCTCTTCTTTCGCCCGCTCCCATGCTTTTTCCCGTCTGTCCTGCTGTGCTAGGAACTCATGCCACTCTCGCCGCCACCGCGCGGCCGCTTCATCGGATTTCTTTTGCTGCTTTTGCCTCTCGGTCTCTTGACGCGCCTGCCTCCTCTTTACTGCTTCGTCCCATTGTCGTTGCATCTCCTCGTCCCACTGTCGTTGCATCTCCGCGTCCTGCTGATTGCGCCTAGCGCTTTCTTCTTCTTGTTGCTGCTTCAGGACGCTCTTGAGCTCCTCAAGCACATTGCGTGTCCTGTTTAGCCATACAATCTTGATCCTCCTCGTGGCTGCCCGATGGACCCTCGCAGTGGCTATCTTCGCCCTCTCTTCTTCAGTGAGCGTTCGCGGAGTCGTTGCATCTCTGATCCAGCCGTACCGTAGTTTCTCGGCATCTAACTTGTCGTCTGTATCGAGCTTTTGGATTTCGGCTTCTAGTGCAGATCTGGTCTTTTCGGCTGCCGTTATTTTGTTTGTATGTATCATCCTATACCAGATGAAATAATCTTTCCATTTTCGATCCTCCTCGGTAGATGGTTGACCCCATGGGCTGTACGAGGTACTAAAGGCAGGTTTGCGGGTATGTGAGTTATTCGTATATGTCTCCCAGCCGGAATAGTCGTACGAATTCGTCGTCGTGGTTTGAGTTTGCGGATGTGTCGCGTCGTACGCGTTCCGCTTTGTCGGGTCCGAAAGAAGTTCCCATGCTGCTGATATCTAGTCAGATGAGTTAGCATATGTAACAAAGACCTGATAGTATATTTACGCGTTGAAATTGCTCTGTCGCATCCGGTCGTGGGTTCTTGTCCGGATGATGTAGTAAAGCAAGTCTCCTGTATGCTTGCTTTATCTCCACGTGGCTTGCCGTTGCAGAGATGCCCAGAGTCGCATAAGGGTTAAGAGTAGGTGGCGCCATGATTGAGGTTGGCTCTTGTGAAGCGACAGAGGAGCGTGAGAGTTAATGCGGGTTCACTATTAAAGCTCGCGACACTGCCGAAGTCGTCTAAGAACAAGCCCGATAGATTTTGTAGTGAAAGGGAAAGAGAATAAGGTATGCGCATTTATTGTGGCCACGGTGACGATTCATGAATCGCCCAAGCACTGAGGTGGTTTACCAAGGTGGCGTGCAGGCGGCGGCCCATGGCAGCAAGCCCAAGGCCAACGATGTCAATGTCTTTCGCCCAGGCGCTCGTCCACGTGCTGAGCGCTGAGCGCCATGACCGAGCTCTTCTGCCTGACGTCGGACGTCGGGCTTTCCTACCTATAACCACGGGTCGTGGCTCAGCATTCCCGTGACCATGGGCGTGTCGGTGGCCGTGTCTTGACTGACAACTCGGCGACTGAATGGGGAGTAGACCGTAGTCTCATGTACATGACAAAGGTATGTAGTTAGAAGATTGGATGAAGGTGGATGGAGGTGGATGGAGGTTGGAGGTTGTGGGAACGTTTCCCCGCGCCCCCACAGAAGCTCACGCCCTGACGCGTCGTCGCGTCGCCAAACAACTCCTCCACCAGCTTCAGCCCGCGACGAACGATCTATGAAGACACCCTCGTAGGGATCGACAAACGCCCACGCCATGCCCGCAATCCCGCTACCTTCCTCGGCGATGCGACAATGGTCTTGGGGAGCGGGCGACGCGTCTGTATCGCTCACCATACCGCCCGAGGGTAGCCAGACGCGCAGCAGACGAACTCGATCGTGTCGGCCCCGGCAGCTGCGAACCGACCTGTTGCAGCAGCTCGCAGCACACGTGTACATGGTTTCTCACCCGGTCGCCGTCGTCCAGTTTCTCGGACAGCACCAGCCACAAAGCCGCCATAGGGTGATACGGCGGAGGCTATCACGGGCAAAGTGGCACGGCGAAGGGACGCCGCTCTGGACGACTGCCAGACCATTACGGGACTGCTAGGTGCAGCCTTTGTCGACGAGCTGGTCGCCGCGTACCCCACGCCGTCGAATCTCGCTCCTTCTCCTTCTGATACCGCCACGCCTTCTGGGACAAGATCTGATTCTACTTCTGACGGCAACGACTTCAACCGAAACGACATGCGCCGCTACTGCGAGCTCTACACTCATGTTGCGGAACTGGTGCCCCCGGATTGGAGGCTTGGATGGCGCGTCCAGGTGGGTGGGAACTTCTGTGCGTTTCTGGGGAAGCCGGTACCTGCGAGCCCGTTTCCAAGGAAGATGCACATACACCGGGCCAAATGGATGAGATGCGCGCGGCTATGCACGCGCCTATGATAAGTCGGGCGAAGAGGAACATGGCCATTGCCTAGGGTGCCGTGATTGCGAGCAGAGGCAGCTGGCAATACGCAAAGGTGCGAGCTGCAGGCGACCAAGGAAATACAGACGGCCAGTATCAAAAAGTGATCTGAGGATGCTCCTGGAGAGGCCCCATGGTGTCGAAACACGACTAAAGGCGATTGGCCTAGTGATGAAGATGGTGTTTAGGATGAAAGGGCTGCTCTCCTCATGTCCACTCGTCAACACTATCGAATCGACTTGCTCATCCTCGTGGACACCAAGACTATTACAATGGTCGGAAGAGAAAATGTTGTTACACTATGCATACCCCTCTTGAGCGAGCTATCCAACCAAGGCCGCGACCTCTAGATCCACTTACGGAGTAATCTGTAGGGAGCACTTTCAAAGGTACCGCTGCCCTTTGCGAGCAATACGCTAAATACGAGCGTAGCGTCTAGATCTACCCAAAGAGTAGTCTGTATGCAGCATTCTAGAGGTGTCGCAAGTATACCTGCATCCTCCTATAAATAAAATCACGTTTACACTCGGACCGACTTGGCTCGCTTTCGCTCCCTGCGGAGCACTACCTCCCGTCAACACAAGCCAGCAAGAACAACAACCGTATCTCAGCCTCCTTTACGTCCTCATCACAAAAGAAATGGCAACAGCTTCCGTAACTGTTGCATCTGCAACGACTTAACGGGGGCCATCGAAAGAGCCTTTGGCAACTGGAGACACACTCTTGAGAGGTTGAGGTGCCCGTAAGCGCTACATCGGCCTCATCTCCGGCAGTACACCCTATCTAGTACATCCTGCTTCCACCCTTTCATCCTTATTCCTTAAAGGAAATCACTCATTGTTGCAAAAACACGGACGAGTTGACAATGGGAGCAGTCCTGAGCCTCGACATTTTCGCCATGTCGATTAGTTTCGAAGGTTTGCCTGGGGAATTGTGCTCCTTGTCATGATCAACGCCCGCCGCAACCGCTCCAAGAACAGGTACATACAGCATGTATATGTTAGTATACTTGGCTGGCCTGTACAAATAAAAGTGAAACCGCTACTAGAATTTGGAGAATAACTAGCAGCGATCTTTCTACGTACAAAAGAAGCTGAGCAATGGGATGCTCGCTTAAGAATGTTAGGGATTGCAAGATATTCAAAACAAAACAAAGAAAACAGAACAGAAGTCAAGCTCCGCAACAGAATGGCCGTACATGGCCTAACACCGCTCCTGCTTATCCGCAAACTCAAACTTCAAACTCGATGGCGCGCTTCGTGCCCTTCTTGCCACCATTGGCCTTGGCGTCCTTCTCTTTCTTTTCTTCCTGATCCTTCTTAGCCTTGTCCACGATCTCCTTATTGGACTTCTTGATTTTCTCTCTCTCCGCCGGGGGAACAAGTTGATCCGCCATGCGGGCCCTTTCGGGATGCGTAGTCTTGCCGTGGGCCTTGTCGTTCAGTGCCTTCATGCCGTCATCGGTCTTGGCGTAATCCTTCTGCAGGACATCCTTGCTTTCGATGGCTACGCCGCCAATCGCAGGAATCAAGTTCGAGCATCCGATTTTGCCCTTCTTCGAATGATCGCACGGATCCTGGATTTGGATTGTATCACCGTTGTAGTTCGGTGGGAACGGGATTCTGTGGTATTCCGAATCTTCGACGGCAACGAACTTAGCCTTGCCCTGGGGGAGACTATTAAGATCCGTATTGTGATAACTCTCATATTGATAGACCAGAGCGCACTCCGCGCAGGAGCCAAGGTAGCCGTGCTTTATCTCCTTATCGGAGCAACTGTTCAAGCACTTGCGGAGGCTACGTATCGGTGTTAGCTTCCTTTCTCGTATAAGCCTTGGGAACGCTTACTTGTCTTCAGCTTTGACATAGCCATAGCCGAAAGAAAGGTCCTCCTTGGTTGTACTCCTGCCTTTGACCGAGGCCGCCATCCATACCTCTTTGCCCACCAAGAGTAGAGCCATAGTGTTTGGGCGCTTATCCTTGAGGTCGGACTTGGTAGCATAGTGAGCCATACGGATAAAGCCCTCCTTTGCAACCTGGACCACCTTCGCATTGGTGTCGAGGACCTCGACAGCATTCTTCGAGAATTCCATCATCGTGCTGAAAGTGTAGAATACTTGGTCTTTCACCTTCTTTTGCTTTACCTTCCCATCCACACCCTTAACCGTCGAGTCCATCTCATCAATGTATTGCATTTTGGGGCTGTAGTAGGTCAAGCCGAAATCATCCTCCAATTTAGTACCACTTGTGGCGGCGCTAAGTGCAACACTTGTAAATGCCGATAGGAAGAGGAGGGCTCGGGAGAGTAACATAGTTTAACGAGAGTGTGAAGTAGTAATGCAATGAAAGACTTGAGATCTGAATGAGTGTGTTGAATGAAAGACTCTGCTCCCAAAGACTTCTCTTATATGCGACTATTCGTCTGTTTCTGCCCCCAAGAAGGGTTCATAGACAGTATGGGGGCTGCGTTGCAACCCTTCAGCGCAATATCAAGAACAGCATTTGATGGCAGAGGATGCCGTAGCATCTAATCCGATACAGTAGGTGTGATAGTAAATCATAAGCTTCGGAGGGCCAACAAGGCAGAATCACCTCTTCCAATTATCACGCCGTAGTGGGTATAACCGCCCCCTCTACCAGCGACTGTGGGGTGCAACCGCAATCGTCTCCACTAATTGCCATGTTGCCTAGAGCTAACCGACCCCACTACCAACTGCGGCGTAGCGGCGCAGTTAGTACCTACTACAAACAACAATATAGCGGCGTAGTCAGTATTCGTTTCCAACAGAGGCGTAGAGGCGCAGTCAGTATCCACCAACAATAACAGCGTAGCGACATAGTCGTTGTCTACTGCGAAGGAGCTCGTCTCGGCCCTCTCGGGTACAGTGAAGCATGTAGCTATCGGCCAACCCGCTAAACCCGCCAACATTCGATCATAGTATAATTTGGGTAGATAGTGGGTCATACAGGCAGATCCCTATTTCATCAAAAAAAATCCAGCGAGTGCTGCGTGGTTTAGTATACTGGTCGTTACTTGTGCTTGTCGGCTAAATTTTTGTAGACCGCTTCCTTATCCGAACGAGCTCCTTCGAAGCAACAGTATAGAGGCGCAGTATCTACTATCTACAACGGCATAGCGGCGTGGTTGATGCTCTTATACTAAGACTTCTAGGTAAATATATAAAAGATAAAATTTATAACGTCCGTTACCGCGAACCGAGATCTACTATCTAGCGAGATAGAAGACGATATAATTAGTCCCTATAGAGTACTCCTTGTATAGCTCTAAGACTAAGTCCTATATATAGGTTAAAACGTCTTAGAGTATATATCGACTCTATATTTCTTAGCTAGTTATCTTCTTCTACTCTATATGATTTCTACTATCTCGCGTTACGGTATATCTTACTTTATATAGAGTAATAGACGTTAGATATATAATTTCCCTAAGCCTATTAATTATATAGCTAATACTTATATTTCTATTAAGCTAGATTTATTAATTAGAATACGCTTTATCTAGCTATAAGCTTAGGTCCTAGACATTACTAAATATATCCTTAAGCGTATATATCTCTTCTTTTACTCTATATAAGTATAAATACCTTATAAGCCGATAAATATTATTTATTAAATTAATAAATATAGAATAAAATAATATTAAACTAGTAATAGGTAGTAAAACTAAGAAATGTTTTAGAAGTATACTAACCCTACTAGAAGCTTATTATTCTAGCTATAGTAGAATATATATATATAAATCGTTAATACTTAGGTTTCTAATAGTACGCGCGTACCTTAGTCGTAACCTTTTCGTTTAGTTACGTAGGAAGGGGCTATTTCGGCTACAGGTCTATTTTTGCGATGCTGCCTACAGCTCCACTTTTGCGACGCGGCCCCCACAAGCTACCTTTATAAATAACTACCTCACAGCAGCTTATGTGTCTAGTACACTCTAACCTGCTTACTACCAATCCGCAGGGCCCGACAACATGGCTCCCATTACTGCATTGCCTTCTGAGCTTTTCCTCGAATCTATTCTCCCCAATATCTCTCGCCACGACCTTTGCAGCCTTGCTCTAACCTGCAAAAATCTCCGGGACATTGCACAAACTACCTTGTACCAATCTATCGATATCCGATGGAGCTTCACGATAGGATCGAAGTCTCCTCCTGTTCACAATTTGCTTAAAACACTCATCCGCCGCCCTGAGCTAGCGCTGTCAACACATCATGCTTGTTTTCAAACCGATTACCACCCAGTGGACCCTCGGATAGGGAATACTGCCCCAATCGACAAACGCCCTGGAAACGAACTTCTCCTACATGATACCAACGGGCTACCTAACGCCCAGGACTTGAAACTTCTCAAGCAGACCGTCGTAGATGCCGAACTTCCGCAGGTCGACGACTGGATAGAAGCATTAAGCAAAGGTTCCATCTCCGCTTCGATAGCCCTGATTGTTTCACGGCTGCTAAACGTCAAGACACTCGAAGTTAGCATTGTCTTGCAAAATCGGAGACGCGAACTTTACAGAACGCCCAAGGATCCATGGGGCCCATCAGATTCAGAGCCAGACTTTTTTGGTCTGATGCTCCGCCAAACAGTACTCGCGTCTCCGTCGGCCTATATCACTAGGTTCAAGGGTCTCGAACAGGTTCGCCTATTCACCGATATTGAGAGAGTCCTCGGTTGCCCTCGTATCGACCTAGATCAAGTGCTTCCTATCTTCTATGCGCCGCGCCTAAAGGTCGCCGACGTGAAGATCGACGACCCTATAGATGCACATCGTCGCCAATCTCCTTGGTCCACAGGCCAACCTCCACGAGGTTCTGACATGACCTCGCTCCGACTCCACAGAAGCTCTGTTAATGAGTTGACACTCTCTGCAATCCTCCCGGTCTTTCCTAACCTTACAACTTTTGAATTCGACTATGCGCGCACCTACGACACCATTGAGTCAGGCGATAAATCTATCACGCCAGGTTTCGACGGGACCATTATCAAGGAAGCCATTGAATCCTGTTCCTCGTCGCTCGAGAACCTCAGGATCTCTGTTCAAGCAACCCAGGATAGCGGGCCACTCAGACCTCACTTTGATTGGTGGCATCGTAGTTGTGGCGACATGCGGAGTTTTCCTGTATTGAGATCGCTCAGCATATCCATGGTCATGCTCTTGGGCTGGTACCCTAACCGTTTGCCAAGGCTTGCAGACGTATTGCCACGAAGCCTCGAAAAGCTCTGCATTGAAGACGACTGCCAGTTCCAGGAGATCGGATGGAACGATTTGCGGATTATCCGTGAGTTTAATCACTTCTTTCGGACACCTTGGACAGCTGTTACACCAAAGCTAAAGCTGGTGAGACTGGAATGCCCCGTGGCGTACTATGAATGGAATGAACCACAGCGAAGACAGTTCCAGGAACTATGCTCTAAAGAAGGCCTAGAGTGCGAAATCTGGAAGCACGAAATGGATAGCACTGAGAGTGAGAGGGAAGAAGAGTATGAGCAGAGACACGACAGCTCCGATGGAGATTAGTTGCTTTTTCGATGCTTTTCTCATTACGGTACGGGACCTGAATAGAGCTGAATGTTTCTGATCCTCATGTTTTCATTGTTCGCGACAAAACATCTTACAGCTTTGTTAATAAATCTGGAGCCTAGCATCTGGCTGTCTTTCAAAGCGGAACCGTAATTGTTTTCGTAATTCGGACACCACTTCTGTGGCTTCATTGCTTGATAGCACATACATTTTCTCGCATATTTCTGTGTACACAGATTGACCTAAGTTTAATTAAGAGCTGCTGCTCAAAAACGCTCGTCATCCATCAGCGACAGCAGCACGTCACGCCGTCACCCCCGTGAACAACGCCAACAGCGCCAGCTGCACCATCTCATTCCACACGAGTACTCATTTTGCCCATGTTAGCTAGAACATGTCGGTCAAAAGTTAGAAATAACTCACTGTACTCGCGCCACTGTGACACAACATCTCTTGTATAACAGTTACCATAACTCTCTAGCAAGCACTAACTATACGCATTTGTAATGTACAATATATTCCGACAATACCTACCTTTGTTCTGTATCGCAGTGTACCTGTTACCGTTATTATCTCTGTTTATACCGGTAATTGGGTGGCATATATCACAATAGTTGCAGCCAGGTTGATTTAGACTATATTAAGAGACAATAGCATTGTCCTAAGTATAGTTATAAGGTAACAGTAACGTCCGTTACCGCAAGTCATGACTCACTATCCAGCAAGATAGAGAAGGATATAAGCAGTCTCTATAGAAATATCTTTATCTAGCCAAATATGTATGTCTTCGATATGAGTAATAAAATACTTAGAGATAATAATCTAGCTTTAGGGATCCATATATTAGTATACATATACCTAAAACCTAATTGGATAAGTATTAAGCTCTGCACGCCTGGTACCCAATATCAAGCGAAATATGCTTTTACACAATACCATGTATTAACCCATGGCTCTCCATCACGAATACAACTTTCCAAACTTTAATTAGTCCGTTTGGGTTGATGATGACCGCGATTTATTTATGAAATACGGTTTAAACTACGAACCAGATTAAATCTAATTAACCTTACTCGGACTGGATTACTCCGAACATTGTTTCATGTCGTAGCGCCTCGATTTTGCCACGTAGCTATCGCAAACGTTTATGGTTCTGACGGCTAAAATCTCTGTGCGCCTACTGGTTGTAACGTTGCAGCTATGGCGTATGAGAAATGCGGAGTCCTTGGCGTTGCTCTGTATACGCTTGGCTGCTAAGCGCCGATGTTGACATGTAAATAGCTCTTATAAGCTCAGTAGTAGTCGGTTAACTTCTTGCTATTGCTGTCTAGGGTACCTAGTACTATTATAGATTGCTGACGAGTAGTACGTGTCTGTAGGCTACCATATTCGCTTCAACAAGTAAAGCTTCAAGTTCAACTGCTGCGTACCATTAATTTGCTTTTTACTTGGCATGTTTAGCGGCATCGGGCTGTCCTTGCGTAACAACCAACTAGAATGCTCCGGACGTTATACTGCATAAACGCCATCTGTTGGTTTCGTCACGCTTACATGCATGCTTTCAGCCCCCTTTTCTCAGCCGACGCCTTCTCGGTACTAGCTTGGTCATCCGAGCCTTCCCAAATCACAAGGCCCTACTATATTTATCACCTGGATTGCGCTTGTGCTTCAGCTCTTTTTTTTTGCTTTTTCTGTTCCTATTACAACTGTGTTGCTATATAAGTGTCGCCTCGCTCCTAGTTTCGCGGGAATACTTTTCCATTTTAATAAACTTCCCTTCCGCATATTCGGCATGGGGCAACAGCCTTCCTCCGATGGCGCTGTCACAGCAAGCTTTCGGTCATGTCTGACCACAGCAGTGGGCAGTGATGCAAAAGTAGCTTTTGCCGGCGACTTTCTGTACCAATTCACCGATGTTAAGCCTTACAATCTGGACATACCCGTCACGCCTGCCGCCGTAGCATATCCCGACAGTGCCGAGCAGGTAGCAGCGATCATTGCCTGCGCAGTCGATCACGGTCACAAAGTCCAGGCCAGGAGCGGCGGCCATAGTTTTGGGAACTACTGTAAGCACACGTTACCGTTCCACCGACTATACTCACACGACTCAGGCTTGGGCGGCGCGAACTCGTCGGCTGTGGTTATCGACATGAAGGAGTTCCAGCAGTTTTCCATGGACAAGGATACTTGGACTGCCACGGTGGGACCCGGAACTCTCCTTGGCGATCTTGATGAACGCTTGCATGCTGCAGGAAACCGGACAATCGCCCACGTAAGATTCCAGCCGCGCAGAAGATTAGTAGCTCGGCGTTAACGACGTCGATACAGGGTACATCGCCGCAGGTTGGTACAGGGGGCCACGCAACCATCGGAGGCCTGGGGTTGCAGTCCAGAGAGCTTGGCACGACGGCGGACCAGATGATGGAAGCTGAGGTGGTGCTGGCGAACTCGTCCATCGTCAGGGCCTCGGCCACGGAGAATTCGGATCTCTTCTTTGCCATCCGTGGCGCAGGCGCTAGCTTCGGCGTCGTAACAGAGTTCAAGTTCCGCACGGCACCCGAGCCTGGTTCCCTGGTCCTTTTCAAATACAACGTTACACTCGGCACGGGCGCTGTGCTCGCAGATGCTTTCAAGGCCTGGAACCGGCTTGTCTCCAAGCCTGATCTCTCCCGCAAATTCTCCTCCACTCTTACCGTCTTTCCCGGAATTCTCAGCGTCTCGGGTGCTTTCTTCGGCGGAAAGCCTGAGTTTGACGCGCTCAACCCCCACGCCGCCCTGCCTGATGTCACCAACTTGAACATTTCGGTGACGGGCTCTTTTGTAGGCGCCGTGGGTGAGTGGGCGGACGACTTTGGGCAGCAAATCGCGGGCAGCATCCCGGCCGCCTTCTACGCCAAGTCACTGCAATTCTCCCCGTCGACGCTCATGACCGACGAGGCGGCCGACGCGCTTTTTGCTTACCTCGACGGCGCTGACATTGCGTATTTTATCATCTTCAACCTCGTCGGCGGCAAAATCAACGACATTCCCTTGTCCGACGCTGCCTATGCGCATCGCGACTCGATCTATCAGATGCAGAGCTACGCGATCGACCTGAAGCCTCCTGTCTCGCAGAAGACGCGGGATTTCCTGGATCGCATCAACGAGGTAGTTGAGGAACACGTCCCTGGGGTACACGGCGCGTATCCGGGCTACGTTGATCCGGCGCTGCCGGAGGCGCAGCAGCAGTATTGGGGAGCGAATCTTGAGCGGTTGGAGAGGATCAAGGCGGAAATTGACCCGACGGATTTGTTCCATAACCCGCAGAGCGTAAGGCCGGGAAAGTAGATGAGAGATGAGATTGTTATCATTAGTTATCAGCCCTAATCTATATTTAAGTTGCATCAATGACGCGCAGCGTGATTGGCCGGGACTTCATCGGTGGGAGCTGCATCCCCAAGGAAGTTCCAATTGACTTTCCCCGCCGACCCTCTTCCCTTCTTCCCACTTCACTATGGACGAGTCCCAAATCTCTCTTGGTGAATCACTCGATCCTCGGCCAAATCAGCCCTTTCACCAGCTGCCGCCGCCCGACCAGCACCCGCCGCCGCCCCAAGCCACCCAGCCAACAAACCAGGGCCGCAAAGCATCGCGACTACACCAGCGATCATGCATCACCTGCCGCCGCCGCAAGGTCCGCTGTGACAAGAACAAGCCGTGTCACAACTGCGCCAAAGCCCGCATCGAATGCGTCTTCCCCCAGCCAGGCAATGCCGGTGACCGCTCGCAAGCCGCCGACCCCGAGCTGCTCAACCGCCTGCAAGGCCTGGAATCGGTCCTCAAGACCCTGATATCTTGCATTGGCGAGGACCGCATCAATGATGCCCTCCGCCGCGACCCGAATGACCCGGCGCCTTCCCACTTGACCGGACTTCAAACCGCTCCTCCCCCCTCCGAATTGCGATCGCCTCCACCACCACCGCCACCAGAGCCTGCCAGCCACCACAGTGGTCCTGCGCAACCAAACACTCCTTTCTGGACAAGCGGCCCATCTCCTGGCAATGAAGCCAGGCCCACCGAGCCCACGTCGTGGACACCGTATGGGAAGGCATCGGGGAAGTTGGTCAAGGATGGTGGGCGCGACACATATATCAGCGGCACCTTCTGGGAATCGTTGCACGCAGGGGTGAGTGGCTGTGTCCCTCTAATACGCATGTAGGCGCTCATTGACCAGCGGTCGTGCGTCCCAGGTTGAAGATGTGCGAGAGCTCATGGAGAACTCGGAATACGGTGCCGACTATGACACCCCTTCACCCGTGAACTCGCCCCACGGCGCTGAGTTCTTGTTCGAAGGCGCCTTCCAGCACCTAGATCTCTACGCCATGCACCCCCCTCAGCATCTTCGATTCAGGGCGTGGGAATTGTTTAAGGAAAACGTTCATCCAGTAGCGACCGTGCTGCATATTCCCTCTGTCGAACCCGCCATCCTGGAGGCCATGACAACATTTCAGAACGTGTCCAGTCCCATGCAGGTGCTGATGTTCGTCGTATACTACGGTGCTGTGACCAGCCTGCCCTCCGACGAATGCCAGAGTGTGTTTGGAGAGAAGCAGAGCGTGTTATTCGCTAGATACCGACTTGGCTTACAACACGCATTCTCGAGGGCGAAGCTTATGCAGACGGACGACTTCCTTGTGCTCGGATCATTTGTTTTGTTCCTCGTCTTGCTTCGCCACCACGATCCGAGGTTGTCGTGGAACCTGACAGGATTGGCAGTTCGCCTCTTGGAGTCTCTGGGAATGCACCGCGATGGAAGCTCGCTAAATCTCTCCAAATTCGATGCGGAGATGCGGCGAAGGCTCTGGTGGAACCTGTGCGTTTTGGACACTCCAGCCTCGGAAGACCGCTCCTGCACCCCAACCATGTAAGGAAAACCACAACGAGCTCCTGCTACCTACCAAGGATGCGGCCTAGCTGACCTGATACTTTAGACTGGAGATGAGCAGCTTCGACGCCAGTCTGCCTCTCAACCTAAACGATAGCGATCTCGATCCCAACATGACAGATTACCCTCCCGAGTCAGGGGAACTGACCGACATATGTCTCACTTTGTTGCGCTGTACGCTTACAAATATGTGGCGGACTATGATCGATACGAGGAGACTTGTGGGGAACCCCGGCAAAAGCTTCGCTTCTCTGACCATGGCCGAGAAGCACGTGTGGTTGAGCGAGCAGCAACAAGAGCTTCAACAAAGATTCATTGCTGACTCTTCAAGTGTGAATCCTTTACATTGGGTATGTTGTCTCAGAATGAGCTTTCGTTCATTTAGTTAACATTGCCCCTAGGTGGTGGCGACGCTCGTACGATCCATCGTATGCAACCTCCGCCTATTCGTCTATAACCCACTTCGACCGGACGTAACGCTGAGTGAAGAAGCCCGGGATAAAGTCTTCATCACCGCCATAGAGTGCATCGAGCTGTCCCATCGACTCCGGACCGACGTTCGAGCGAGGAAATGGGCTTGGCTCCTCAACGGCTACCATGAATGGTTCGCACTTACCATTGTGCTGATGGAGCTATGCAGAAAACCAGTGGGCAAGAACGTCGACCGAGCTTGGCGAATTGTCGAGCAAAGCGTGGTTCTCCGATGGGAATCGCCCGTTGACCACCGCGGATCCCATCAGTGGCGTTCCATTATGCTAGCCATAGACAAGGCGCGCGCAGGACGGCGAAAGGTCCTTCAACGTCCCGCAACTGCACCTCTCCACCACTCAGCCTCTTCATCTCTTAACCAGCAACAAGTCCCGCAGACGCCTCAAACTTACCCAGCAAGCATACTCCCGTCTCCGGCATTGCTCAGCTTGACAAACATGCCCACTCCCGGCCTACTGCACTCTGAACAAACGCCACCAATGGACCTTGGATTGCAGACGGAACTACCGAGGTTGCTATCGCCGTTGCAGGACCTTGGCCATCTCTCAGGCGTGGATATGGACGCCTATATGTTTGATGTGGACGCTTTTAACCAGCAGATTTTAAGAGACGACCAATCTGGTATGATGAATTGGGGAGAGCCGGGAACAGATTTTGAGCATGAGTAGATCCCGGGTTTACGTAGTAATGCATTTTCATGGCGTTATCTGAGGGGCCGGCATACGTTTTTAGTACATGAATGAGTGGGGTTATCGAGTGGGGACCGGGGCTTAGCATAGGGCTGCTCCGGAGGAGTCTTACTTAGGACTAGGGGCGTAACTATTACTTAATTTATCGAGGGTCGGAGACGAATTAGATCCCATTACTCAGGTATGTACGTAGCTGTAGCATCAGGCTTTATGCGTATCTTAAATCCACATATCTAAACTCAAAGAAACCTAGTATATTCCTACTCCAGCCTACAAAGACTCAAAACAAACAACAAAAATCGAAACCGAAACGCCCAACAACCACACAACTATACACTCCCTTTACAATACCATCAGAGATCTTCGTCCTCCATCCCCATCATCCTTCTCCTGTACTCCGTATCTACACTCGCCAAACTCTCGTTACCCAAGGCTCTCATTCTGTACTCCGTATTCGTACTTTCCTCATCACTTCCCAACTGCCTTCTGTAGTCGGTATCCATACTTTCGACGTCACTCCCCGCCTTCTTACCGTCGCTCTCTTCGCTTCTCGTCCGAGAAATCTCTCTCCTCTGCCTAAGCGGCAACTCCTCGGTGCTGATGAAGCCACCCAAAGCCTCGCCCTCCTGCACCCTCTTGTATCCCTTACCTTCGAAAATCTCATCAATCTCCTCCAAGCTCTTCCCCTTTGTTTCGACGAAGAGCCAGATGATGATGACGAGGATGACAATGTTCCACGCGCCGTTCATCGCGTAGTATTTCCAAGACAGCTTTTCGATCGCTGTAGGCGTCATGTAGAGGTTGATGAAGCCGACCAGGTAGCCGGCGGCTTGGCCTGTAGACACGCCCTTTGCGCGCTGCGAGTACCGCAGGACTTCGGGGGGATAGGTGTATGCGAGGATCATCCTGGGGTGGGGTTGTGTTAGTTGCTTTTCTGACGTGAGCTACAAGGGAATCACGTACCAGCTGCAGCTTGCGCCGAGGAGGAAAACAGCGACGATTAGTATGGCCCCGACGCCAAACGATGCGTTGCCTGTCGCATCGGCACCGTAGACGAGGCCGGAGAGAATCGCGAAGCAGACTGACATGAGCGTGGTGCCCCAGACTATATCGGTTAGCTCGAGCACTTGCAAAAGGCAGAAGCGGAAAACACACTAAGTGAGGTCTTCCGCCCAAACTTCTCGATGGTAAAGGCGCCGATTGCCGTCGCGGCAATGTTCCAGATGAGGAGACCAAGGTTTACGAGGAGGGTTTTCCGAGTCTCGGTAATACCGGCAGAGATGATAATGTAGGAGGAGAAGTAGCTGTAGAGTATGGTTAGTTTTGGCCTGATTTAGTTTGAGAGTAGGACATCTTACAGAATCATGTTACCGCCCACAATTTGGTAGAAGACGTTTGTCAAAACGCAGATAGCAAAGCGACGGAGGTTAGACGCTGCGAAAGAAAGTTTGGTAAGTTAAGAAATGGTTGGACAAGAGTAAGGCGATCACTCACCAGGTGTAATCAAAGTCAACCAGCCTCCCTCAGTGCCTCGCTGTTTATCCGCATCAATCGTAGTGCGCATCTCCGCAAACTCGGCTTTCACAGCGGGATCATCCCGGACGCCGTTCCCGTGCAGATGAACTAAAATTTCAAAGGCCTCGTTCAGCCGCCCCTTGGATACTAGCCAGCGGGGACTTTCATCAACAAAAGGAAGGAGGGCGAGACAGAAGATTGAAGGGACCATTTCTCCCTATTTCCTGTTATCAGCTTTCCGTTTATTTCCGTGTCAGACTTTGCAAAGAAATGTTAACGTACCAGGATAGGACCCCTCCACGCCCAATTACTGTCGATGTCGTAGACGCCGAGGATGATACCACCGACAGCGAATGCAGCAACGGGTACCATGACCATAACTGTATTTCCAAGTATACCACGCATTTTAGGAGATGCCATTTCCATGACGTAAGTAGGGGCGATAGCGCCGTTGATTTCAGAAGCCATGCCGACGAAGAAACGACCAATGACGAACTGGGCCTCTTGAAGGGTATTAGTGTTTGTTTGACTTGTCCATGTTGTTGATGGAGGGGGAAATAAAACTTACCTGCCGCCGCCGAGGCTTGCAGGATAGCGCCCAAAATGATGAGGAAGGAGCCGGCAGCCAGGCCAGCTTTGCGACCCCATCTATCGACGATCAAACTCACGAGCGGACTCGCGGCAATGCATCCGGCGTTGATGATGGCGGAGTTAAGGCCGATAAGGGAGTTGTCCAATTTAAAGTCTAAATTGCGTTAGCTCGGTATTCCTTCAGGATAAGAAACCCCTTACGTTCGATATAAGACGGTATCATGTTGAGATTGTTGATCAAACTGCCATCGTAGGCCAAAATGGAGATGTTGAACCCCGCACATAGCAAAATGAGCGTGTACGAAATCGTTGGCGAGAACCGCGTCATTGCCATGTCGACTTCCTCAAAGTGTCAAAAGAGAGTGTGGATGAAAACAAAGCGAAGGATGAAAACAAGGAGAAGAAATCGCAATCGTAGGGCTGCGATAAGTTGCGTGGTTTGGGGGAATTTTGTCGGATGCTGTGTTCCCTGTGGCTACCTTATAGTGCGGGTGTGGCTGGTGCGCTAGCAGAAGGGACAGGAGGCCACGGTCATATTCGCACCCTCTCCGAGACTCCGAAGCGGAGGGGAAGGTAAGACTGCACCCTAGACTGGCCCAGCAGACCCTTTCTTGCCTTGGCAACGGCTTGTGCGTCTCGATGAGGCGGTGCAGCAGAGGCAGTGTGATGCCCAAAATAAACAGTGCCATGTCGATACGGGGACGATGTAGCTAAAACGATACCTACAAGCTTGGCATTTCTTCATCTCCACTCACATTCTGCCACTTGCAGCGGGATGTCCCCACACTGATGCGACAGACCCTGCAGGCGTGCGACGCAGTACGAAGTTAATTGTAGGCATGCGCGCCAGGGTGTCCTCGGTCCGGCTCGGGAAACCCTCCGACGACTCTGGCTTTGCTAGTTTCTGCCACCGCAAACTAAGAGACACTGCGACTGATGTGTCTCGAATTAACGGCCTTAAGCTAAAGAATCCTTCCTCCAGTATGCTGTGCAAAAGGGAAAACGCATTGGTACAGATATCGATGGTTGGTGGCTCGGACGCTCAGCCCGACGTCTTTCTCTCACCACCTCGGAGTGCTCGGACCTCAGCGCGAAAGTGGGTCTCGGTGTTCTCGGTGCGGGAGCGCGAGCTCCACTTTCAGCCCTACGATAGGGAATGCTCCTGACTCGCCGCAGTTATAGATCAACGGTGTCCAGTCCATATGATCACTTTCACCGCCATAACACAGAACAGCTTCTGGGGAACTTTCCATCTTCTTCTTTTCGTTTTGCTCCGTCTTGGGACCCATCAAACTAACCATGTCGTCCCTGCTGGATATCGCACGGGTTTTGAAAATCACGGTGCAGGACCCTATGGTCTATTCGTTGTGGTGCACTATTTTCACTGCGATGATCCTTTTGCCTTTGTTTATTCCGTCATTTCGGGTGCCTAAGCTGCCGGGTCTTCCAATTGTTTTGGAGGAGGAAATCCCGAACAAGAAGTTGAGGGTTGAGAAATACCTGACAGATACAAGAAATCTCTTGGTATATGGGTATAAGAAGGTACGCCGTGAATGGCTATAGTACGTCGACTTGGCTGACTTTGTTCTAGTTCAAAGATCAGATCTTTGGGATCACTACTACTGAAGGTATATTTTTCATGTACTTCTATTTCGATTCACTGAACCGGCATTAATTGAGTATTAGGTACAACACTGGTTCTTCCTTTGAAGTTTCTCGATGACCTCAAAGGCCACAAATCATTGAGCTTCACAGCTGTCTTGGAAGAAGAGGTAAGTTAATCACCAATCCACCGCATGCCATAACAAATGCTAACATCGCCCAGTTCACGCTGAAGACCTACACCAAACTGGGTAACCTAACGGATGCTCAAATCAAAATCGTCACCAAAGACCTAAACTCTACTCTCCGTACGTTCTCCATCCAGTAGCCCCACTATTCGCTAACAGTCCCAGCCCAATACACGCCAGTGATCCACGAACTGATCCGCGAGCACTGGCCTGTTGGAAATTTCACCAGTACGAATTTGTTCTCCACATCCTTTATTCTCTCTCGACTAACACTCCGCAGATCCCACTCCAATAAAACTCTACCCTCAAATCAACGAACTAGTCTCCCGCGTCTGCGCCCGCTTCTTCCTTGGCGCACACGCAGCCAACGACCCCCGTTGGATCAGCATCGCACAGATCTACATCCAATCCGCATTCGAATGGACTGGCAGCCTAAAAGCATGGCCGAAAAGCCTCCGGCCCCTAGTGCACCCCTTCGTCCGAGGCCGCAACTCCATGGTACAACAGTTCAACACCGGAAAATCCATCGTCGCCGAGACCCTCGCTAAGAAGAAGGAAAACGGGAACGAGCACCTCAGCAACCCGCCTTCTTTGCTTGATCTGCTTACCTCTGGTGAGCTGGCAAGGGATGTCGACAATGTGGAGGGGATGGCGATCGTGCAGATGAATCTTTGCGTTGCAGCGATTCAGAGTATGGCAGCCCAGATTATGCAGTGCGTAATTAACCTGTCGATATACGATGAGTATGTGCCGGGGTTAAGGGAGGAGGTTGAGAGCGCACTGAATGCGTCGGGAGGGAAAATGGATCGAGCGGCGTTGCAGAAGCTGTGGAAATTGGACAGCTTTATGAAGGAGACGGGGAGGCATGATACGCTGGATTTGAGTAAGTTTGAGTTTTTGTTTCACTCCTTCGACTCTTTTTCACTCCTGCTTTTGGAGCGGAGCGGCAAAGGGAATACATTGGCTAATGTCATCACAGTGGGCTTTCAGCGCAAAGTCCAAGAACCATTGACAATGTCAAATGGCATGCACATCCCCGTCGGTGCTCGCATTGTCCTCCCTACCGGCGCCATCAACATGGATTCCAACTACTACGACCACCCGGCTCAATTCGACGGCCTCCGCTTCTACCGGCGGCGCATTGCGAGCGAAACTGAGCAGAACAAACACCAGTTCGTTTCGGTTGGAAAGACCGATTTGGCTTGGGGATATGGTAGACATGCTTGTCCTGGTAGGTTTATCGCTGAGGTCGCGATGAAGCTGGTGTTGGTCGAGTTTTTGGTGAAGTATGAGATTGAGCCGCCAGTGGTGGGGGCGAGGCCGACGTATGTGGAACACGAGGGTGTGGTAAGTGATGATTCGTCTGTACTGTGATGGACGGCTGGGCTAATTGTAATACAGAGTGCACCGGATCCGGAGTGGGAGCTTCTTTTGACAAATAGGAAGTCACGCACTTTCAGCCTCCCTCCCCAGATCAACGTTGTTCCCGCTTGATCAAGGTATGATTTGGCGTAATACTGCAGGTTGGCCGGTCTTGTGTAAAAGAAGTGATAGTGGATTTTGTGGAGGAATTTTTCTAGGAGTTAGATGATTAAATTTCACTGTGTTTATTAGAATCTGTCTTTGTTGATTCCGTAGATAATGATGGGTTTAGTGTCTTTGTTACTAGACACCTTGGAATTGGGGTTGGATTTCGGTCGATAGACAAAACCTGAATAAAACTTCAAATATGGCAAACAGGCGCGTTTGGCAGTCAACACTACACTACATAAGTCCTTGCTGCGAAATCCCGTAACGAGGGCTGGCCCTTTTATACGTGTTTGATAAAATCAAACAACACCACAAATATTTGCTATTCCAAACATGCTATTTTCGCAAACTTTAACAGTTTGAACTCTAAGTTACTTAGAGGAAATATCTCGAATTGTCTAGTTAACTTTAATTCCAAAATGCGTCTCCCCAAAGAAATCATCCACCCGAAAAAAATTGTCTCTCATAAGGTAAAGGTTTTCAAACGACTGCATTTGATTCTTCGGAACACTCGCCATGCAATGTTTCGAAGGCTTCTGTTAGTACTAGACCCAGGTTACCCGCGAGAATATCTTCGGCGTCCACAATCCGATCGTTGCAATTGCATACACCGCTTTTCGATATGACGTCCTAGTTCATTCGGTCTCTCGGGACAGATGCGAAGCGAAACAACCGATGCTACGAAGCCCAAAATCGGTGACGATGGCGACTCGATTTAACTTTCATCGGCCAACCAGTGCTACCGAAATTTTTCGCGTGTGGTGGCCGAGAACAAGCTAGGCCGGCCGTTGCCCACAGCGTTCGGTGTCAGCGGGCGAAGGTCCGAAGGCGGGCGGCAAGCCAGACATATTGCCATGCCCAGCCAACACCTTATTTGCTAATTGCCCTTGTATTTCGAAACTCCCAGGACGAACACGACAAGCTGAAACAACATCTGTTACCTCATGGCATCATCTACCCAATCCGAACCCAAAGCGCTCCCTAAAGCAGCGGGTCCAAGCAAATGGAGAATCACTGCGCTGCTTTCTGCGCTCTTTGTAAGTAACGCCTTGCCCTGTAGATGCACATATGAGGAGATGTAGTTGTTGCTGACGGGATCAACGCTAGCTTTCTTTATTCGTCGCTGCCCTCGATAGCACCGTCGTTGCGACAGCTGTGCCTGTAATGGCCCACGAACTTGGCTCCGGCCTCGGCTACACCTGGATCGGTGGCTCGTTTCTTCTGGCCAGCTCTATAGCCTCGCCAATCTGGGGCATATTGTCTGATATCTGGGGCCGCAAACCCGTGCTCCTGGTCGCTATTACCATCTTCTTCGTCTCCTCCATCATTTGCGCCGTTGCGAAGAACATTATAACTCTCATAGTCGGAAGAGCGCTACAAGGTGTCTCTGGGGTTGGGCTGATCCTCTTGACTTACGTGGTCATCTCGGATGTGTTTAGTATGAGGTGAGTTAGTGGTTCTCCGATTTTTGATCTGCACTAACACCCTTCCAGACGTAGAAGCTTGTTCCTCGGATTGAGCCAGTGCGTGTGGGCGGTCGCTGGAGGCATTGGTCCCATCATCGGAGGTATCTTTGCCTCTCTCACCTCCTGGCGATGGTGTTGTAAGTTTTCGCCTCATACTCCCCGAACGGATAATACTCACACCTTCAGTTTGGATCAACCTCCCTATAAGCGGCATAGCCTTTGTTCTCATCTTCTTTTCTCTCGATGTCAAGCACACCAAGACCGACTTCATCGAAGGCATGAGAGCTATAGACTGGCTCGGCATCTTCACCTTTACCGCCGCGACACTTATGATTCTGCTTGGCCTCGAATTTGGTGGAGAAATATTCCCCTGGAACTCACCCAAAGTGGTGGTGTTGATCGTCGTAGGCTGTCTCATGATCTTCGCATTTATCTACAGCGAGATGAAAGCGAAGTTACCGCTGCTGCCCATGTCAATTTTTATAAACCCTTCCAACCTCGCTACACTGTTGGTTAGCTTGTCACACGGCCTGGTACGTATACTTTCGAAATCAGAGCTTACAACCCAAAGCACAATCTATCTAACCAACTCTACAGACCTTTATGTCCATCGAGTACTACCTGCCATTGTATTTCCAAGCTGTAAAAGAGGACACGCCAATTCAGTCCGGCCTCCATGTTCTCGCCCTCGCCCTCTCGACTGCCATTACTAGCGTAACCGCCGGCCTTCTTATGCACCGTACAGGCCGCTTTCGGGAGTTAATCTGGGCAGGAACCTTAATCCTATGCTTAGGCTCCGGGCTACTGATAATGCTAGACGAATCCAGCAGCACCGTCACGGCTGTCGGACTTCAAGTCCTCTTCGGCGTTGGCTCTGGCCTCCTTTTTGAACCTCCCCTTATCGCGATCCAAGCGCATGTCTCACCGAGAGACATAACTTCTGCTACCTCTACTATAGCTTTCGTCCGAAGCTCTGCGCTTGCTCTCTCCGTTATCATCAACGGAATCATTTTCTCGACCTCAATGTCGCATCAATCGAGCTTCCTCGCCGCCTCTGGGATCCCTGCTTCCACACTTGAATTACTCTCGGGCAATGAGGCGGCAGCAAACGTAATGATCACGCAGACAATGACCGATCCGACGTTAATCTTGGCGGTGAAAAAGGCGTTTGCGCACGGAATTAGGGATATGTTCATTGCTAGTACCGCGTTTTCTGGTCTTGGGCTAGTTGCTGGTTGGTTTGTAAAGCATGCGGAGTTAAGCAAGGTGCATATAGAAACAGTAACAGGGCTTAAGGGTACGGAGAAGAGGGAAGAGGGTCCGAGAATAGATTTAGAAGCGTAACTCGAATACGCATCGGTTTAGAGCTAAACTAGCTCGGGTTTCTAATTAAATATAAAAGTCTAATTATAGTTTAATATAGAGTAGGTATAGTGTTGCAATTACAAGATGTCGGAGCGTAAAATAACTGCTACTGTTACGGTATATAGTCCTAGCAGCGACAGCAGCATGCAGAGCGAATTTATAGCGGATTAAAAATAGGTATAGTCGATAGCAGCAGGTAGCACGACTACAGCAGCGCGTCTATAATTAATTAAGTTAAGTCGTATTTATTTACCCTGACCTATCGCCCTAACATTCACTTAACATTTGTTGCACCCCAACGGCGCCACCCCCGAATTAGCGGCCTTTTTGCCAAATTCGACAGCCAATTAAGGAGATAT